TTTAACATTGGTCTTATGGGGCAACCTCCAAACATTGATACATTTCTGTATTTTTCTCGTAAAAATGTCGGTGAATATTTTTAAAAAACTTATAGATGAAAGTAAATATATCAGTAATAAATTTAATTAAAAAAAATTTACACTTGCCCGACTAATTAACGTGTATTAATTAAAAGAAAAATAAATGCCGCCATTAGTCAATGTTAAATGTACATCTATATATTGAGAAAAATCATATGGTTACTGCTCTCCCCTTACCGCGCTAGAGTCGATACCTATCCCCACCCCGCCTGACGCTCGTACTTCCTTAATGTCATCAATACATTTCTGACTAAATTTGTTTATTTATTTATGTTGCTTATTCATAGGCTTTAACAAAAATAGCTTTTATTTATTATGTGCTTCTTTAATCAAAATAGTATGGGCTCGTTCAAGTTTACTAAGACAAGCTCTTGACAGATCTTAGCAGATCTTGTACTAAAAATTAAATGTGCCTACATTCTCTCTAAAGAATATCTATGAGAAAACAATGCAAGGTATACTTATCTAAGCTCAGTCCAGCTAAATACTTAGTAAACTTGAATCCAATTAGATCAATTTTTAAATATTTATACTATGGTTTTTTAAAATATACCATTATTTAATTTAGTGAGATTATTTTCCATTACTAAGCAGCAGTATACGTATATTTTCAATTTGGTAGTAAATTTGAATGTTTATTTTTCAAACAAAAAAAATTTTTGAGTTAGCATGAAACCGTGGCATGAAATTTTAAGATTTAAATGATTGTTTCAGATTTTGAGCTCTGTGTCAAAATCTGATATTTGTCAATGATTGTAGTATTATTAGTATCATTACCAAAAAAATAAAAAATAAAATAAAATGAATCACTACTTAAGCTCGTAATTTCGTTTTAGCACTTAATGTATTAGGGTCTGCATAACTGAAGGTTTAACTACATTTAACAGAATAGCAGTAGGTACGATTTTATTCCGTAGTTTTCGATTGTATAACCATTGTAGGCTATTTGTAATTCTACAGAAAATTATAATATAATATAAATAATCATGGCACTGAGTCAATGAATTCGTTAATTATTTACGTTAAAGTACTCAAAAATATTTACTGTTTAACAATTTAAATCTTGTTGATTTCTTCGAGCTTAAAAGTTAATACGTATTAATATTTATAGTCTCAATAGGTCAAAAAAAGATCATCAATTACATTTTAGAGCTTCAAGAGCTTTCAGATTTTTTCTCGAAATGTCAGCATAAAACAAAAGTTCATGAAATTTATCATTCAAGACTATGATAAGTATTTAATTGTATACTTATTCTTATCTGATAGTTTTTTATCTTAGTTTTTGACGTGAACAGTCTTATTCTGAACTCATAGACGAGTTCTTTTACCTACTGGCATATCAAACTTATGGTTATGAGGCATAATATTTACAAAAATTTTTTACGCCATTTTTTATTCATTTACGATTTGAAAATTCTATTATTCACAGTAAAAATGAAAAAAAAGTTATTCTTTCTAGTGTTTCGTGGACCAAAAATGAAAACCACTCAGTTTTTATACATAATTGATTGTTATTGTAATACACAAATACGTAATTTATAATAGAGTACATGATTAATAGATCGTAAAAAATCATTAAGTGTGATTAAAGTCTCAAAAAATTTTTTTAATTTCGAAGGAAGAAAATAACAAAAATACTTCAAATTCAATTATTTGGCTAATAATTATAAATTTGTAGTTGACTCAAAGAAATTATAAAAAGCAGCAGTGGAAAAAAACTTGATACTACTTTTTCATCAAGAAAAATAAAATCAAAATCATTTATCTGAATTTCATCATCTATTTAAAATTCCTCGTCATTCCAATTCAACATCGATAAAATAATTAATTGGATTCAAGAAAGAAATTCTTAAACCAAAAACATCATTTTGAAGAATTTGATCATTTTGAATCCAATAAAAAAATTCTTACATCAAGTAAGATTACTTTGAACCAAAAATACTTTCTCAGATCAAGAATTTTTCCACTTGATTCAAATTCATTAAACTCTTTAAAATAATGTTCTTGGTTCAAGAATTTTTTTTTTTTAATTAAGTTAATTTTTTTATCGGTATAATTTTTTTAAATATATTTATCAAAGTAAAAGAGCTTCGAGGATATCAACAAAAAAAAAAAATTTCTTAATTTTATGATTTATAATTCTTTTATATTAAATAAATCTTACAGCAGGCTGGTAATAGCTTGGTCGGCTCGGTGCTCGCTTTTCGAAAGAGTGGAACCCGGGTTTGATCCCAGCGCGCACCACTATTTTTCAGTGATTATAATTAAAAATATGTGCGTTGCATTGCCAGCCTCTGGATGTGGCAGAGATAGCCGGGCGGCACACGTCTGACTTGGGCGATCACACATTTAAGCAACAACTTGAATGGGTGACCGCTCTAGTCGGCGTTGGCTAGCGCGAGGGATCTCTGTACACTAGGAGAGGGGCCTAATGCTCCAGTGGTCGATAAAGAAGAGTTCTTATCAATCACTGTAGACTTAACCCAGCTCCGACTGTACTAACATGGGTTTTCTCTGTGGTTTTCCCATGTTACTGTTCCAATAGCCGAGTGGTAAGGATCAGGGTGAATACGGTACCGAAGGCACAAGTCGGTCCACAGCCGCAATAAAGAGTGGAGATATAGTTGATTCCCCAAAAAAGAGTGGGGATATCAGCCTTGTAAAAACCAGATAACGGTATACAAGTAAAACTCAAAATAATAATAATAAATACTATTGGCCCTTTAGGGCTGTTAGGTTTATAAATAAAGAAATAAATAAATAAATAATAAATAAATAAATAAATCTCACAAATACAAATATTTTTCGTAATTATGTATAATAATTAACAAAAATTTCGAATTTGAAATAACTTTTTTCACAACGTTTATACAGTAAACATTACCATGCTACACTATAAATATTCCCGTGTACTTATTCTGATGAAATAATACTACTGAAATTAACGAATAATCAAATTTAATCAATTTGTTTTTATTTCTTAAAAATAAACAATCTAGTTCGATTAGAATTTTATAAGTTTATTTAAAGTCTTTAATTAACGAGGTGAATGACAAATTAGATTAATAAATGATCTATGAATTTGAATTTCCTCATTTTACGTAGGTCTCAGAATTAAAATTCTAGCTTAATTGATACCTATGTCTCCTAGGCCTTAAACAATATTGTGACAGCACACCACCACATAATACCAGATTCCGATCTACCTCTCACCTGACATCTTTCAGTTTAATTTTTAATACACAATTTAAAATTTTTATTTTTTTGTACTCGTAAAGATCAAAAACTTGCTGAGAAGTTATATAAAATATGGAATAAGTTAACCAATTATTAGTTTGTTCTATACCCTAATTTAAATAACTTTCGCTAACAATGTGGTTTATATTTATAATTTCAATGTCTAATACCTTCAATAGATTCCAATGTTATTGAACTCAAACGAAATGATCAATTATTAAATAAGTATTCACATGGTAAGTGTATTTTGAAAAACAGTTATGAATGTTAATCTGCATCCAAGTAAAAGAATACTGAAAAATATTCAACAAAACATGTCACATAATATAAAAAGATTACGCTTTATTCTGTTTAGGAAATCTGCATAATAAAGAAAATAATATTCTCAATCTAACTCTCTAAACTTACTCAATGAATTTCTTATTTTATAGAATTTTCTATGAGTTTATCACATGTATTTGGAATTAATGATAAATGTTAATAATAACATTACTTATTTTATATCATTAGAATTACAATTTTGATAACTGATCAAAATTAAAAGAAATTTATAAGAGTAAAAATAAAGTCAGTATGTGTGTATATATAGATAGATCGATCTATACACGGATGTATAACGGAGAGAGGTACGAATGATATCATATGTATTAAAAATTTACCTGTTGCAAGTGTTTGAAACTTTTTCACGTTCTTTATCTTCAGAATTCGTAATTTTTTTTCTTCTTTCTTTCACTTAATCATTATTATTTTGCTTGATACACTTTTGATAATTTTTGAACACAATCATGATTTCGTTGTTATCGTAAATAATAGAACCATTCAAACACTGTTATACCTCTAAAAATAACTAATGTTTAACCATAATTACAAACAGAATTAAAAATTATTTTATAAAATTTATTTATTGTTAATATAAAATACAATATTGAATTGACATTCATCAGTACACGTAGGTGAAAGCTAAAGAGAAGGAGAAGAGCGTTACCACGCGACTGGTTGATTTTACATCAGAAGAAAAAGAATGAACGGTTATGTCCCTCCCCAACATACTTCTCTCAAACTATGTTACTTTCACAAGAACCTTTCAGGTCGTGGTAAGGCTGATAGACTCAAGAATTTGGCTTAAAATTATGATATATGTTGTTGACCCTATGTCTCTACTTGAAATTTAGTAGATCCTAACTGTAATGTCCATAAAAAATTGATAGTACACTATGCAACCATGCTAAATACAGATATAAAAATTCTTCTTCGATACAGAATTTTTCTTCTTGAAACATTTCTTACTGTGACAGCAAAGCTAGAACTGAAGGCTATATATAAACACTAATTATTAAAAAATTGATTCGCTATTAGTAAAAATCAAGTTTTTTGATAATAATTATAACAGAAATTCTGCTGTCAATTATTTTACTATAGTTCTTAGCATGATAGTATGTGAATGAGGAAGTTGAGAATATGTATAAGTGTACTCATTTATTTTCTATGGATATTTCCCAATTACTATAACATTCTTCAGATTCCTGAAGTCTTAAAATAAAATTTTTTTTTTGTCAATCTCAGTCTGTGATGAGTATATACCAGGTTTTTTTGTTCATTAATTCTCATTTACTTTCAGTACAAGTATGACGCAGATTAATCGAATACCACATATTGAGTATTATCGAAAAAATCTATATCATTTATGAACGATCTTTCGAAAGATTCAAGGATTCACCTGAGTCATTCAATGTTGAAGCTTGATTATTTTTTCCATGTATCATTGACATATCTAACATCGCTCCAAAGTCTGGACGAACACTTGATATTGAGAGCTCATCAGCAACAGAAAAATTAGTGGGCCGTTTTGATTTCATGTTATCATTTGTAGACTCTAAAGTTTTTTTTCGATCTACTAAATTATCAATTCTAGATGGATCTAGGTTGAAACAAGTAAGTGGAATGTTTTCACCTGGTGTATAGTCATTTTTCCGATCGATTACATCTTTTGATGGATTAGTAGAACTACTTTTATTATTAGAACTAAATAAATTTGCAATATTTCGATTGTACATATTTGGTGAAACTTTAGTTATTTCGTTTAAAGGAAATACTGATAGTTTAGCAAGATCAGCAGAAGAAAAATTAGCTAATTTACTTAAATTTGGCAACGGTGTCATTTGTTGTGAAAAATCAGGAAGAGGAAAATCTGATGTAAAACTTGACCGCATCTTATTTAATACTTCTATAGAGAGGGGACCCGTCAGTTTGGAAAAGTCTATAGATGTCGGTGGTTCAACATCCAGTTTGTTAACAGTTTTTACTGAAACTGTAAGCTCGCCTGATTTAAAAGTTGGTGGAATTTCGGGTTTGTCTATTTTTGTATATAACCGACTATCTTTTAATGATTCATCGATAACTTCTTTTTTACAATCACGAGAAGATGTCGATGGTTGAGATTCAAACTTGGGTAAAGGAGTCATAATGCTGTTATCTGACTTGAAAGCTACGGGGGTAAGAAAAACATTATTATTACTTAATCCAGATGCGGTCTGAGTTAAAGACTCATTCATCCCGAGAGGTGGAAACTGGACAGTAATAAAAGCATCTGATCTAGTTTCTATTGATGAATCCGGAAGAATCATTTTTTTAATTACTTCCCAATATCCAGTATCATTACCACGACTACGACCCGGTAATTTTGATGCTAAAGAATTTCGTAACCTTTCTAAATAAGTTGTGGTACTGTTGAAATTTGACTTGAAATTAATACCTCCTTCACTTCTATAATACTCGATACATTTTTTAATTTCATCAAGTGCATCTTGAGATAAAAATGATTCTTGTGATATTGTATAACTGAGCAACATTGGGCGAGGATACTCGTGAGGCCGATTTTCAGGTGGTGGCATCGACCAAAAGATGTTGAAATTAGATTCATAACAATTACCATCAGCATTATAAGGTGCTTCAATAAAAAATAAAGAAAAAAATATTTTATCTAAGTTATTAAATAAAAGAGATAAGCGTTAAAATAAATATAATTACTTACAACAAATCAAGCCTACACACGGAGTATATCCATTATCACTAGGACCTTTCATTTTTATTTGATAATCAAGTTGATAATCAACATCTCTTAATGATGGTGATGCGTGAGATCGTGGATGCGAATGATACCATCCTACTAAAGTTACTCGCTGCCATTCCATAGCTCTTGCGATTTCAGCTTCAACCATTCCAGCCGCTGTTTTATCTTTACCAGCATATCGGCAAGGAAATGCACTCGTAATAGCCAAATCTTGAAGTAATGTTAGGTAAAATCAGATAACTATTATAGACAAAGATGCTTATGTTGGCATTATATAGTATTGCACTAAATAAAATAAACAAAGATATTTGTAGTTTACATTTAAAATATTACTTACTATGAGCATTTATATCCCAATGCCCACCGAGATATCCACAAACCTCCTTGTCTGTGAGATGACAATGTAAATCTACTATTAAAGCTGCCGTAGTAGAAATCGTTACTAAAAACGGTTGAATTTTACCAAGAGAACTAAATGATGTGAGTTCAACCATGGTACTCATGTCCCTATAATAAATAAAAAATAATTATAGTTTTCTAATTATAATTTGAAAAATATGAGATGCATTTATTTAAATACATTGCATGACTCCTGATGCCTAAATTTGTGTGTTTTACAGGAACTCTTACAATCGCAATAGAATTAAATAGTTGAGGTTCCTGTTTTTCGGTGTTTGTATTACTCACTATCTCCATGTTAGTATCTTATAAGTTTCTGTTTAAATATTATTTTGTGCATTAAATATTTACATAAAGGTTATAATGTTTATTTATCCTTTTCCGTAACTGGCTTCACTTTTCCCATTGCCATTTCTTAATTTTTTTCCTTACATCCCCACTATATTAAATAAAACATTCACAATCAGACTCCAAATTTAATATTATTTATTATATTTGTATTCACTCCATGCACAACGAATACACACTCACTAATACAATAAGTGGTTTTGTTTGTAATTTGTCAGGAATTACCGTTGGTCTAGGCGGAACTCTGGATTCACGTCTGATAGAAAATTACGAGTGTAAATATTCCAACATGCACTGCGACCACTCTAAGGTCTAACGTCAATGTAGAAGACTGCGAAACCGTGTCTTTTATAAACAACTATAGGTATGGTTCTTTTTGAAAAGAAGACGCTGTCTCCAATTATAGTGCTATCCAAATAAAAATTTTAGATTAAAGATTAAAAATTTAATTCTTACTTTGAATAATGGAATTAAAATTTAAAATTTGTTGCTAGGATTATAAATTAAAAAATTCGTAGAAATAATAGTACATTTCTTACTTAGGGCAGGAAAATAAGAAATGTCTCAGATTACATGTAATTGTAATTGTAAAATATTTTATTTCCAAGGGCATTGTGAAAGCTTGAATCTCAATTTTTATTGATAAAAGAGATGTCGAGTCAAAAGCAAAACACAATTAAAATTACGATATTATAATTTCATATCGCCATTTGATAAATAAAAAGTCTTTTAAGTACATTTCCCCTTGTATATATAAAGAAGAGACAAAATTCTACGATACTGAAATTAATAGATATCTCATAATTATTAAAATTTTTTCAACCAATAAATTATAGTAAGAAAAATTTATCTAAAAAATGTCATCTTTAGACCCTGATTAAAAAAAAGTATTGAGACAAAGAAAAAAGTATTGAACAGAATTGGATTGACTAGAAAATCAATTCTTTTTAATACTTTTTTCTTTGTCTCAATACTTTTTTTTAATCAGGGGAAGCTCGGAAAAATTGTAAATGCAATTTTTTAAAAATAATTTTCCAGACCTAGTTTATTTTTCAAGAAAAATCAAAAAATTGTCAAGTGTCAGCTAATTTCAGTGTCATAAAATTCTTTAAAAAACATTGACAAATACACGTATAGAATCTGATAGATCTATGAATAAATTATACATAGATTCTATATTTGTTCACAAATTTGTTTATGTTTTATAAGAATTTTTTTACTTCTTCCCATAAGATCACGACTTCCCGAAAAAAAATTTTTCTATATAATCATATATAATTATATATAATCATACATGATTATATATGGAATTGTATATGAGATTATATATAATCATATATAATTATATATGACTATATATGGAACAAAAGACAACCATGCAGGATTATATATAGTCCCATATACAATTATATATAAGTATATATAATTATATAAAATCATACATGATTATATATGGAATTGTATATGAGGTTATATATAATCAGATATAATTATTATATATGAATATATGTGGAGCAATGTACAGCCAAGCGAGATTATATATAGTTATATATAATCATACATGATTATAAATGGAATTGTATATGAGGTCATATATAGTCCCATATATAATTATATATAAGTATATATAATTATATATGCTTATATATAATTAACACATATAAAAATTTTTTCTTTGAAAAAAAATTTTTTTTTGGTAATTACGAAAAGTGTAAAATGATGTTTATAATTACGTTTAAATAATTCTGAAATACAATATTTGTTACATTTCCTATGAGATGTTTCGGTCTGCTCTGCTACTACCTAATAGTCAAATCATTATCTATTTTATTATTTAAATAAGTGTTATATTATAATGAGATTCGGTAAAATAAATAAATTATGAATTATGACTATCCAAATATATTATAAAATCAATTTTTATATTATATTTATGATAAACTCACATGATACATTAATATGTAGATCATAGAATCATTATCATCTAAGACAGCAGCACAGCAGACAGAAACTTCAAGACGTACGGAGATCACCAAAGTTAAGCAACATTGAGCAGGGTTAATAGTTGGATGGGTGACCACTGGTGTTATAGCCGTAAAATTGTATCTAGATATTTTTTTTTGCATTTTAATTGGTTACAGAGGATTGCGTAGGACCATATTAAATACTCTATCCATAAAATTAACCCAATAATTTATTAGATGTAATAAATATATAATTAAATATTGTTATATATAGTTATATATAAATATACATAATTATATATGATTAGATATGATTATATTTGGCCATTTTTCATATATAATCATATATAACCATTTTATATATAAATATTTTTTCTCGGGTTATGAATTAATTTTAATAATTTACGATTAAGGAGATCCACGCAACGTAGTCAAATTTTTAAAACTTTTTGGAAATTTGTAAATTCAATCTACGTAGCCTAATAATTAATAAAAAAAATTAGAAAAACGGTTCACCCTAAGGGCCATCCCTGCAACTTCCCGCTAATTCCATTCCTGGGTGCTTAAAATTGTACTTATGACATTTGAAAGATTTTTGAGCTCAAAATATAATTCATGTGATATTTTGAGCTCACTGAGTTCAAAGAAATAATATTTCTATGCATTTGAGCTCTCCCAGCTCAAAAGACTGATAAAAATTTCATAGAACGCTATTTTTGGAATTTTCAAACCGCAATAACTTTTGAATGGATCAACCAATTTTCACGCAGTTGGCGGCATTCGACGCAGTTTTATCATCCTCATAAGTTATTTTTAGGTTTTAATTGACCGAACCAAAAATTTCGGAGTAATCCCGAAAAAACACTTTTTTCGATTTTCTTTCGTTCACGATATCTCTCGAACGAATCAACCGATTTTGACCGGATTAGCGACAATCGGCGTGGTTTTTCAAGCTTAAGGGCGGATTAGTTTTTGAAGTTGATCGATAGAGCCGTTTAAAAGATATTCCAAAAAAACCACTCTCAAAAATGATTGTTTTCTTATTTTTTTTGAGATTTTTCAAGATTTCTTAAAATCTATCGGTCTGAATCGGTTCAAATTCTCAGGAAATCTAAGTTCAAGGGAACTCTTTAGAACGCCGTTTAGTTCGTTCCGATCGGTTCAGTCGTTCAAAAGTTATAAGCGAGTCACATAGTCACATAGTCACATAGTCATTATAGAACTTTAACCAAAGAAAATGTACTATACATAGAGATAATTAAAAGTCAAAAATTCCTTTATGGTAAATCACCAGAGAAATAATTTGAATATTCAAAAATATACAAATAAAATATTTCAAATAAATTTGATATTTCAATTAAAAAAAAATCAATGAAATATCAGTCTCCTGATAATTACAGTCTTAAAAGTAAACAATATCAAATAACTATAGCTAAATATAAAGACATTTACTAAAATATTAGATCATATCATTATACAAAATTAAAATTGAAAAGGCCTAAAATTAGAAAATAGTCAATTAAAGCAATTTAAATTTTTTTTAAATGGAAATATAAACAGAAAAAACAAAGGAAATTTAAAAATAATGACAAACCTAAATTCAGACAATTAAAATAAAAGACATGAAGGTTATTTGACATATATACACAAATGAACAACTCTGAAAATAGAATAGCTTTACAAATGAACATCTCTAATTATGGACAAGAAAATTCGGAAATCTCTCAATATGGACATCTCTCATTAAAGAAAACAAAAAAAAATACAATATTTATAAATTAAAAAATTAAAAAATAAGTAATAGTTCAAAAAAACGTGCTTCAACATATAAAACCAAACTAAAAAGTGAGAATTAATTTTTTGGATAACTCAAAATTAAGTTAAAGTGATTAATAAAAAAAAATCATTTTTATGTAAATAAGTGTGGGGATCAGATAAAAACAATTATTCAAAGGTAATAAACTCTGCACCAAGACATCTTCTTCGGAGAACTTTGCTGAAAAATTAATTTTTATTAATCATTGGTGATGTACGATTGTTTAATTTTTAGGTAGATTTTTTCATCGCTAATGACTAGAGTCAATGACGAGGGTTATTTATGTCAAACTTTTTGTTCTCGACTACCCACGTGATACTATGATAAAATTCATAAAGATCAGTTCAATAGATAGATTTCTAAAAAATCTACCTAAAAATTAAAAAATCGTACATCACCAATTTAAATAACCTTCATGTCTTTTATTTTAATTGTCTGAATTTAGGTTTATCATTATTTTTAAATTTCCTTTGTTTTTTCTGTTTATATTTCCATTTTAAAAAAATTTAAATTGCTTTAATTGACTATTTTCTAATTTTAAGCCTTTTCAATTTTAATTTTGTATAATGATATGATCTAATATTTTAGTAAATGTCTTTATATTTAGCTATAGTTATTTAATATTGTTTACTTTTAAGACTGTAATTATCAGGAGACTGATATTTCATTGATTTTTTTTTAATTGAAATATCAAATTTATTTGAAATATTTTATTTGTATATTTTTGAATATTCAAATTATTTATCTATAGTGATTTACCATAAAGGAATTTTTTATTTTTAATTATGTCTAGGTATAGTACTTTTTCTTCGGTTAAAGTTCTATAATTATGTTTGTCTGAGTTTACAAGTATTCATTTTATGTAAATTTTCTTCATAGTTTCTTTCATTTTCTTTATTTTACAAATATATTATTAATTTAAATTTTTAGTTAGGATGTCCAAATTGAGAATTTTTTATTTTACTCGAATCATTGCCAACCTTTACAAATCAATGACCACGACTGTATCATATATCATATTACATACCCTGATAACCACAGTTTCAGACCAACCAAGTTGGTGTCAGATAGTTGCCACCAACTTACCGACAACTTGCGGTCAACTTCCGAATTTGAAACTGTTGGCGTCAAGTTGGCTACAAGTTTCTGAGAAAAACAAGACCAATCTACTGCCGTAATATGTCGCCAAATTTCTCGAGAAACTTGTCGTCAACTTGGTGCGAAAGAGTTTCGAAAACAATTTTTGCCGACAACTTGGCGATAACTTGGTGAACAACCGAGTTCATTTCCAAGACTTGCCGCCAACTTGGTGACAAGTTGCGGCAGCAAATCGACGGAAAGTTGCGACCGGTTTGGCTATCAGGGATGCGAGTATACTTACATGGTTTTAAAAGAAATCATTCTTATCGACGGTAGTCAGAAATTTAATAAAATTTTAATTTTTATATATATATATATATATATATGATATAGTTCCCTTCGTGTACTGACATCTATATCTGCTTGAGTATATATTATAGACTTCATTTTTCATTTGTAAACACGTGATTATGAATATAAACATTAGTATTTTTATATTTTTATATTGAAACGTGATAAAAACTAAAGTATCACTATTTAATTTTGGTTGTCTTTAAACATGTATTAGATTGATGAAAATGTCGATAAATATTTACAAAATCACTTTATTTTCAAACAAACAAAATTATTCTTGGTTAACAGTTAAAATGAATTCGACTATGGTATGGAAGAAAGTTATTGGTGTAAGAGCCCAAAAATTTCAATCTTACAAGCAATTAATTGTTGAAAATTTGAATTTAAATCATAACCAAGCATCATCTGTATTGAGTAAGAATACTCATATTTTAGATATACCTAAAGAAAGAATAATAAGAAATTGTGCAATATGTCAGGTAAGTACAAGTTCATTTTTCTTTTATTTACATTACATGCCTTTTTAATAATTTCATAACTTGGTGCAATTATTTAAGATAGCATCATGGAGTACATTTTGATAACGTAGACGATTCTAGTTGCCAATTTTTAGAAATGACTAAAGAACAATTGGAAAATACAATTGCAATATTGAAAGAAATGGGTGCTCAATATATCAACACTTGTATACTGAACAGGTATTTCATATGATTTTTCTTCATTTTATACTATTAATCGGTATTCTATTTTCCACGATTATGTATATTTACTAAGGTGTGTCATTTTTAGGCGATATTTTTTTTTTACTGCTATACCAGAAAATCTGGTAGTTTATAGAAAATAAAAAATTATGCCGCGGGGCTAAAGGGTTTAAGTCCAATAGCAGCTTAGCTCATCAAAAAATCCGATTTCTCATTTAAATAACACAGGAATTATTTTTTTTTGTTTTAAGAGGATTTTTCGTTATAAAAAAAATTTTTTTTCAAAAAAACCTTATAGCTATTGTAGGATATTAAATTCTCTACAAAAATATCTCTTTGGTTGATGACTGTAAAACTACTAGTTTCGAAGTTATAGCCCCTCAACTGGTAACATTTAAAAAAAGACACATTAAATTCCATTTAATTGTACTTTTTGGAGCATAAAAATTTTAAATTAAAGTATTGACTGGTTTTATTACAATAATCTAAGTCAAATTATAATTAATTAATCGTTATAATTACAAGCAATATATTCCTTAAAAATTTATCTGTTTCAAGAAAAATTTTCACTCAGTCCGACAGAAGCTTCGGGAATCCGTCATATACTAATCCGTCATATGTATGTATTTTCATCGTTTTAGTATACATAAAAGCATGGTATTGTGCGCCTTCAGCGATCCAAGCTCCTCGACAGGATTTAAAATTTATGAAAAATTTACTGAATTATAAAAAAATAAATAAAAATATTTCGGAAGTAGCATCAAAAAAGTTCAGCACTCATTTGTGGTATCTATCTGAACAACTGATTTGTTTGTCATTATTTGATGATAATGGTAGTGTAGAAATCAAATTAAATCCATTTGAATCGATTCAGAAAAAAAACAGTTAAATTAAAAACTTTAAACAAATTAATGTATAAAATGTTAATATTAATTCCTTCTTAAACAAACAATTGTATGATTTTGCGTCAGAAGAGTCGTTGAAAATTTTTGAAAGGTTGGAACTCCCAACTGATTTGTTAAATTTACATCGTGATCAGTGGATATCTCACGAAAGTTACAATACTTGATTAAAAATTTTTTAAAAATTTACAAGTTATTAATTATGCTGCGGAACTGGCGGTCAAACTGATGGAAGCCTACAATAAAAGCTTAACTGCTGATGAAGAGCAGCAGCAGTTTTTATTGCAAGTTGTAGCTATGCACAGAAAAAAATTTCCAAATGCTAACAAGCAGACGTTAATTTCACCATTTGTAGAAGAATGAAAAAAATAATATTTTTTGTAATTACAACGATTAATTAATTATTATTTGACTTAGATTATTGTATTAAAACGAGTCAATACTTTAATTTAGAATTTTAATGCTCCAAAATGTACAATAAAATTAAATTATTCATGTAATAAATTGAAAATTAAATGGAATTAAATCTGTCTTTTTTAAATGTTACCGCTTGACGGGCTATAACTTCGAAACTAATGGTTCTACAGTTTTCAACCAAAGAGATATTTTTGTAGAGAATTTAATTTCCTACAAAAGCTATAAGGTTTTTTGAAAAAAAATTTTTTTTATAACGAAAAATCCTCTTAAAACAAAAAAAATATTTCCTGTGTTATTTATATGTAAAATCGAATTTTTTGATGAGCTAAGCCACTATTGCACTTAAACCCTTTAGCCCAGCGACATAGTTTTTTATTTTCTATAAACTACCAGATTTTCTGGTATAGCAGTAAAAAAAAAAAAGTTTGGAAAATCCAAAAGTGCACGCCTCATAATCTCATTTTTTACAATAAAATTGATTAAAATAAAATATAAAAAGCAAAATAATAAAAAACAGAAAACACGGCTATGGTTTAGTGGCGCCATAACTGCAAGGTGAGGAAAAAAAATACTATAATAAAATGTATAGATAGAAATACAAAAAAAATCCACAGTCATATGTTAGTTTTTTATAAATAATAATTTAACGACAGTGAATTGAACTCTCATATTAACTAAGAAATACTGTCGTGTGTTACTTTAGATAATTAAAAAAAAATTATTCCGGTACGATAATTTTTTCGACCAATTTCCCTGCCACATACACCCATTCATACATGGACGTCCAAAAAAGATTATGTTTAATGTTATTATTTATTATGTTAAATAAAAAAAAATGTTATTGAAATATATTTTATGTGCCTGAAAAATTATTTGACTTGACATAAGTGTACTCATTTTAACCTGTAAGTGCGATATAAATAACAAAATATCAATTTCAGTTTCGAGAAAACTGCTTTTTTCGAAATGTCGAGAGTAGAGCACAACCTCAACGCTTCGCTTATAAGGCGTGCAATATCGCCTAAAAATGACACACCCTGATATTTACACGCTCTTTAAAGCGTCACATTCTGATACTCTAACAATTTACTATTCTTACTATGTTACGTCAACATGAAAATACTATTCAAAACGTTGTGATCGTTTACTAACTGATGTTTCAAAATTAATTTTATCATAATTTTGTATGGGAATGAAATAAAATTTTTAACTTCCCGCTAAGAAAATTGAAAATTTTCAAAAATCGGGAAGTTATTCGTGTCACCCCGTTTATTGAAAATCGAGTTTTCATCCGACATCCGATCTCGACGTTTTGAGGTCCTCAGGAAGCTTTCCTCACTATTCCCGCGATGGTGTCTATATGGATGTATGGATGTATGTATGTATTAGGGTGTCCGTTATTTCCCAAATCGATTTTTTTTAGCAATCGCCCCCTGAATCTTTAGTTTATGACCTAAAAAAAAATATCCAACACAAATGGGCTCTTAATTTTCACATTAACCCGTGCCGGAATCATGTTATATTTCCCATTTAAATAACATGAGATTTTTAGACTTTTTACTTTTAATTTTTTTTCTCAGAAACAAATGGGAGTAAAAATTTGATCGATGCATATTCTGGTAGGAAATTGAACGCTCTACAAAAAAGTTCTCTTATGAATTTTCGATAAAACAACTCCTTCAAAAGTTATTCAACGTTAAACTTGGGTTTATTGTCAATTCTATGATATTTTTAATTTTATTTTCATTTTTACCTCTTTTGGCTATAAAATCGTTGGAATAAAAGATTATTATTATAATGAATAGAGTACCAATGATTATTTATGTCGATATAATGGCCTAAACAGAAAATCAAGGGGAAAAAAACTTTTTCATGAGAAATAAAAGAAATAACATACCTTTCCGCATACAGACATACTTTAAAATAAATTGATGGAAAATGGTGAAATAAAAATGTAAAAATTTCTTTGTCTATAATATTATAAGCAGATTTATTATTATTTTTCTTTCTTTATAATTTTTTTGTTAAGCAAGCTTTGGTCGCATTAGGATATTCTTTCTTGTACTCACTTACAACTTGTATCAAATATTGTTTTTGATCTTCTCGTGTTGTTAAAATATTAATATACTCTTGAGTTAATTTAATTGCTCCTTCGGCGACATCATTAACTACTTGTAAATTTTTAACAATTCGTAAGCCTTCTAAATAGTCGTTATCGTCCGCCCACGTTTCAACATCTAGTTTCAAAAAATTTTTATCAATGTTAAATCTTTCAAAAAATTGTAAGGAATCCGAATTTATAAAAAAAATCAATATCTTTTTTTTGCAAATTCACAATTTCACTAATCGTATGAATTCCATAGCGTTTGGAGAAATCAAAATCCTGATTTTCATTATTTTCTAAAGCCTTGACCATTTTCCGTTTGATGGAAAAAGATATGTTTTCATCAAAAAATGAAAGAGCAGCTGTTGCACCATTTAAATAACATAGATGGTTTTTAAATTTATTTAAGACAGCTTCGGATATTTGTTTGTCGATTGTTATATATTGATACACCGCTTTCAAAAATCTCAAATCTTGATTCGGAGCAACGCCGCAAGAGGTGCTTCGAACCAAAACGGCACATAAATGAATACAATAAATAAACAAATATCCAAGAGATTTGTTTTCGTCTCATCATCTATGTCCAAAATATCTCGAAAAATACATATTTTGAGCGAATAAATCGCTTTAGACACCCAGCGGGCGTGATGAAACGCTCCTGGCTTGTGGAAGTAAACTTTTTTGGTATCTATAGTAACAAGAAATATTTGACATATCTCTAAGAGTTCCTTATAGTCATCACGAGGCAAAGTCGTACCCAGAAAATTTTCAATTTTGTTATTTGTTTCTTCAACCTTGCCCATTAGTTTTCGAGGAATTTTATTGCCTACTAATCCATTTTTATACTTAGTTTGATCAACTGTACTCCAAGTTTCTTTAAAGCTCTTAAATAATTTAACATTTGGTCCCTCTGTGCCTGGTATTTTAGTCGTAAAAACACAAACTAATACTAACTCGTAGACGTGGTGCCTACATGGTAAGTATAAAAGCTCGGTTTGTAACATTTGTTCTAGGTGTATGGCCGCTCCATTCCGACAACCAAGATTTGAAGCCGTAGTGTCACAACAGATCGCTTTAACGTTCTCAGTAATTCCCCAATGTTGAAGTGCTGTAAAAATTGCTTCTGCCTGAGCCAATCCTTTTCCATCTGGCAATGCTGGCACGTCTAAAATTTTTTCAATGTTGTAACTTCTCACTATTATCGGAACTCGATCAAATTTTTTACAGGATAAATCATCAGGTATCAATTTTCCATCCCAATGGACAACCACCGCACCAACATCAATGCCACCGAATAACATTTTCGTTTTTTCAGCAGCCTCCTTCCGGATTTTTGATCTATATTCATTAAAAGAAGTCTTATTAAGGATTAAATCATTGGTATCAACTCCAAAAGCTGACGGTATTGTTGAAATAAATTTGATCGAGTTCCGATAATAGTGAGAAGTTACAACATTGAAAAAATTTTAGACGTGCCAGCATTGCCAGATGGAAAAGGATTGGCTCAGGCAGAAGCAATTTTTACAGCACTTCAACATTGGGGAATTACTGAGAACGTTAAAGCGATCTGTTGTGACACTACGGCTTCAAATCTTGGTTGTCGGAATGGAGCGGCCATACACCTAGAACAAATGTTACAAACCGAGCTTTTATACTTACCATGTAGGCACCACGTCTACGAGTTAGTATTAGTTTGTGTTTTTACGACTAAAA